AATCTAAAATTTGGTGAATAAATTAAACAAAGCAGCTGTGGACAAGTCAGCTTTATTCAAAATACATTTTAAAAAAGTATCAGAGACAACAAAATCAATTAAAATCAAGTTGTTTTAAATTCAGGATCTCCACATATTCACTCTCCGTTCTCTGCAGGGCTCTCCTGACTGTTGTCGTCATTGTCTGATTTCTCATCGTCTAGAAAACAGAAAGTTGATCAGCGAGGTGAGGTGACACCAAATGTGCTAAGATGCACACTTTAACAGCTACTTAAAACAAAAAGCACTCACTCTCAAGGGTCTGCTGAAGCTCCTGTATGGTACTGAGCAGCACATGGAACTGCTTCTTCCGCAACTCCAACTGAGTGGAACAAAAGATTTTAACAAGTAGGAATTTTTACTGCTAACTAAAAAAATATTCAAAGTTAAAACTAAAGCGTTTAAGAGATATTTTGGTTTTACCTTGGCATCCACATTCTCCTTAATGTGAGACAGCTGTTGGAGTTCTTTATCAAGCGCCTCAAGCTGCCTGCAAAGAACAAAGTAAAACTGAGCTCATAGCCAGATCATCACAAAAGCTGAAAGCACATACAGTTGTGGTCAAACGTTTGTAAAGAACATAATATCATGGCTCTCGAGTTTCCCGTTATTTCTACAACTCTGATTTTTCTCTGATAGAGTAATTGGATCAGATACTTCTTTGTCACAAAAAACATTCATGAAGTTTGGTTCTTTTATAACTATATTATGGGTTAACAGAAAAAAGTGATCACGTCTGCTGGGTCAAAAATATACATACAACAGTGCTAATATTTGGTTACATGTCCCTTAGCTATTTTCACTGCAATTGGACGCTTTTGGTAGCCATCCACAAACTTCTGGTTGAATCTTTGACCACTCCTCTTGACAGAATTGGTGCAGTTCAGTTACATTTAATGGCTTTCTGACATTGTTTCTTCAGCATTGTCCACATGTTTTCAATGGGGTTTAAGTCAGGACTTTGGGAAGGCCATTCTAAAACCCTTGTTCTAGCATGATTTAGCCATTCCTTTTACCACTTGTGATGTGTGTTTGGGGTCATTGTCCTGGAACACTCAACTGCGCCCAAGACCCAAACTTTGGGCTGATGATTTTAGGTTATGTTGAAGAATTTCAAGGTAATCTTCCTTCTTCATTATCCCATTTACTCTCTGTA